TCGTCTCAGGACCACCTCAGAGTCTTCCCAATTTGGGCTTTGTATACCTTGTGCGGTATTACTTCTCTCCATTTTTCGATCAGGGAAGTCCAGTAGAATATGGTCTATTTTTTCTTGCTGTTGGATTCTCCTCTGGTGGTGTTCCCCTTGGTCTGTTCTTCCTGCCTGTTTTCCGGTTCCAATCTTTCATCATTATACAGAAAGAACCCTCAGCCTGGCGTATCAGTCCGAGATCCTGTACTTAGTGCTACACCTTGCCATTGACTACTCTCTCTCTCTCTCTCTCTCTCTCTCTCTCTCTCTCTCTCTCTCTCTCTCTCTCTCTCTCTCTCTCTTGACAAAATGGAGATTTATTTTTGTTTAATGAACGAAATTGAACCCTCCTGACTCAGCCGCCAAACTACCGAAAAGTCTCTCCTGAGAGTCCGGCGTTCTACCCCCTTGGCATTTATCTGGACCGAAGAGGGTCCGGGCTTCTGAAAATGGCGGACCCCTCAGGAGAGAATTTTTGGTGGTTTTTGGGGCTGAATCAGGAGGGTTGGATTCCGTTCATTAAATATAAAAGCTTGCTCCGTTTTGGCGAAATGGCTGTTAGGTGATCTGCCGCTAATGTATGTATGTTGTGTCGTTGCCTGCTGAGTTTGGGGTCCTAGTCCGAGTCCTTGTGCTACGGTAACCTCTGTTGGCACCGATGTGTGGCTGAGCCTCAGTGAGGTACAAGGTACAAATATGGGTAGGATCAGGGATATGATGATAAAATAGCAGTAGGGACATATTGGGGCTAAGAGTAGCGGCTAGAGATATAACTTTTTTTTTTTGAAAGATCGGGTAGAGATTTCGTAGAAAGTCAGTTGTGCCGGGGCTCATCAGATGTCCGGTAGGTAATGACAGTCCAGGACCTGAATGAAGTCCGGTAGAAGTCTAGGTTCAGGGTCTGTAGGTGCATGACAGGCCGCAATGGTGTTCCTGCCAAAAGCCAGATAACCTGGTAGTAGTCCCAGTGCACACCCAAGGGAAGCCGGCGAGGGGCAGGTACTGTAGCTAGGACTTCTGAAAGTATATCGCTTGGTGCAATGGGCAGGACCTGGTGATGTCCTCTTAGAAGCCGTGAACCTGCTACCCGCTCAGAGGGGAAGGTTGGCGGAGCTCCTGGTGGTGGAGGTGGAGCTTGAGGTGAAAGAATAGAACTCCATCGCTCTGGAGAGCGGTAGGGAGAGGCCGGAGAAGCCCTAGGTTATGGATGAAGAGGAAGAAGACCTTCCAGCTGGGCTATGGTGATGGAGAGCGATTGGAGGAGGAGGAAGGAGGTGGGAACTGACAAGGAGATTTACATTTGGGTAAGGTGGACTAACAACGTGTACGTCCTGACTGTCACTAAATCAAGAAGCCCCTGTTCGGGTGCTGGTCGGACATAAACTTCATTCGGGGGACAGACGTGGCAATAGATGAGAGGAGAGGGCATGGAAGTAATTTTGTTGTCCGCTTAACAACATTCAAGGTATCTTGGGATGTACCGCCATAGCTAGTCGCCATACCAAGTAGAGGAGAGAGGTGGAGTGAGCTAAGGGAGAGAGCTCTTTCAAGTCTGGCCGACTCTGGCGGTAAGAGGGATGGATCCGATATCGATTGTCGCCCATTCATTCAGTGTTCATTCATTTGTTGTAACAGTTGTTGTTTTTTTATTAATAACAAAGAGTTGGATGTCATGATCTGGGAGAGATGATGATCATGGTGACAACATAGGGAGGGAGGCGGTTGGCGAAACCAGTCATAATGTCTGATTTCAACCAGTGGCAGGCGGTGCCAGGCGTTAATCCCGCGTTTGTGTTTATAAAATTCTCTCTTGTCTATAATGGCTAATGAGAACTTGTCTATGAATGTAATCGCACATTTTGCTAACGCAATGACTCTGTTTCCGACACTTGTCATTGTTCTTCTTCTTTCCTCTGTTCATCTTCTCGTCCGTCTTCGATTTGAGTTGCGATGAATGGCATTCTCTCACATTTACATTTCACAACCTGAAATGAGCAGGGTCATAGCAATGCTCTCTATGCGAGATATAACTCCTACCGTCTTCACCTGTCAGTGAATAGAACGCCCGGTCATTAGAGCTGCATTTGGTGTAGCTTTCAGTCTAGATACAGTGATAATGACCGGGCGTTCTATTCGGGTGAAGACGGTAGTAGTTTAACGTGTATCTGTCGATGCAGCTGCCCTAGTCTTACTAACTTGAAGTTCTACGGGCGTCGCCGCACGGGACACGAAACGAAAAACGAAACGAGTGCATCTTCCTGCAGAAAATGGCCAGGTTCATCGGTTTGCTATAAATAGTAACGAGTGTATTTTGCCAACCTTTCGTGGGCAGATGCACTCGTTTCGTTTTTGTTTCGTGTGCCGTGCGTCGAGACCCTACATCTGGTGAAATTTGCTAACCTTGCTCCTTCTACATCCCGGCCGAGGACTTCGGATGAGAGAAACGGATCAGTTCCTTGCGTATGCATTTAAACTGCCAGTCCTAGGTCCCCCCTCCAGCGAGGCTTGCGGCCGTATACACAGCGTGTTTCGAAGGGCCGCGGCAGGGCCTGCAGGAGGGGACACACATAGAGTTGGCCCGAAAAGGGCTAACTGTGTGAAAAGGTTGAGGTGCCCTTACTGGCGTCTGACTTAAAGACGGGCCGGATTTGGACCCCGCCTGCCCATTTTTTTGACAAACAAAGAACGTAAAAAAAAACACGCGACCGCATTTCGAAATAACTATGTGTTTGACACTGTTTGTCCATTTGTCTTGCTTTTTTCGAAACTGGCCTTGAGTCTTGAGGAATACTTTCTCCAAAGACTGCTACCAGGACAGGTTTTGTATTTGGCCAAAACCTGAAGGCCGCTTTTTTCGAAACTGGCCTTGAGTCTTGAGGAATATATTTTGCCGAAAAGTATTTGGCCAAAACCTGGTTGTTTGGCCAAAAACTAATCCAGAATGTTCTGGTACCTATGCAGCCTACTTGGAAAGTGGCAGAATGTGGTGGTCCCGGCGCACAGTGTTCTATCCAGGCTCAGTTCCTGAAAACAGGCCAGGCCCAAAGGCCAGCCTGAGGGGCCTGTCTTGCCAACCATGTATAAGGCCAGTCCGTCCAATCGAGCACAGGGGCGTTGCCGGCAGCTTGCCGCACTTGTGCTTCGTAACGATCGATGGGAAGACTCAATGCACTTGCGCTGGCCTGGTGTTGTGGGTACTGGGCTAGGGCGGCAGGGGGACTTGGATCATACTATATATAATACCACGATCAACTGTGTCGAAGAATTTTGCCCTTGGACTTGGGCTGTGTGTGCACTTGCTTGGGTCTAGACGAGAGAACTTAGATTCGTAGCATTGTCATAAGAACAGAAAGAAGTAAGTAGGTGCCCTTGATTTTGGGAGTAAAGATCGGATGAGAGGCTATTATTGATAGCTAAGGGAAGAATAGTAAACAAGATACCTGTGATTTGAGAGCGATGGATAAGAGGCTATTGTGGATAGGGGAGAATAGTCGGCACGATGCCTGTGATTCGGGAGTGATGATCAGATGAGTGGCTATTGTGAATAGGGGTGAATAGTAGACAAGCTCTTGTTGGATAGGGGAGAATAGTAAACTAGAGGCCTGTGATTTGAGAGTGATGGATGATCGGCTATTGTGGATAGGGGAGAAATATAGACAAGCTATAATTGTGGATAGGGGAGAATAATTGACACGATGCCTGTGATTTTGGAGTGACGATCGGATGAGAGGCTATTGTGGACCGGGGAGAGTAGTCGAGAAGATTTGGGGACTGCTCTGGAGGCGGCTTCTGGTTGTTGAGTTCTCATTGGAGGTGGAATTATGTACACAACTGGACTAGTATGACAATACTTGTGGAAGATGCTGCGGAGGTTGGAGGGAGAAGCAGAGTTGGGTTGATTCGATTCTACTCTAGTCTGTATGTGGATGTCCACAGCGCCCCATTCGTGTACGGGGGGAGTACGAGTACATACTCCAGAGTGCGTGGATGTAAACGAAGAAAGGAGAACACGACGTAAAATAAAAGAAAAAAGAATAAAAGAAAATGAGGAGTCTGAAAAAAATAATTGTTCTGCAACAAAATAATACAAACATCTTTTGTCTGGGAGGCATCTCAGAATTTCCTAGCCGAACTCTATTTGAAAATCAAAAGCCAAAAGAAAAACTACACAAAAAAGAAAAAGAAGGAAACACACTCCCACATATGGGAGTATGTACTCGTGCACAAGAGTACGTGTTCTCACGTACACATGTCGGGCAGATTTGGAATCCATGAATGATTTGTGTCAGTTGATTGCTGCGAAGCGATCTGAGTTGTTGTGCGCAGGTGCAGGTATGGACGGTATCTGACAGGATGGCACAAGGTACGTGGGACCGGAACAGTGTACAGTGCACTCTCTTGCTCATCGCTTCTTCATGGTGTGGCATTCAACAAAGGGCCATAAAGAGGCCAGGGTACGCACAAGCCCAAACATAGCCAGTCAACACATACACAGTGTTGGTTACGTGTTGTGGAAATTTTTCATGTGATGCAATTAGTTATTCCTGCTATTTTGGCTGTAGAGCCGAGCGCCCAAGCTCTCCCTCCTGCTTGAAGGCAGTTTATGACACTATCTTCTTCTTCTTCTTCTTCAGAACTTCCTTTTTTTCCCTTTTCCTCTCCTTCTTCTCCTTTTACATCATTGTCTTTTTATTCTACTTCCTCTTCCGCCTCCTCCTCCTCCTCCTTTGCCCCCCAACCTCCCCACCATGCTGCCATACCCCTTTTCTCTCTCTCTTCGGCTGAGGTTTTGAACTGGTATTTTTCGCAACAACGTGGTGTCCCCGCCCCATCAATCCCCCACCCCTCCCCCTGGCCACCCCTTTTTCCTCTGTCCTGACTATCCAGTATGTCTTTGCTGCAGTAAGTGCCTTCCTGTTGCTGCAAGATTGTGACATGTGTCATTACCCTTTTGATCCCGTCAGCAGTCATGGCACAGGTTCAGCAGAGGGACTTACTTGTGAGCAGTTCCTTAAGTACCTGCATGATGTGCAAAACACTCCACCCTGCATGGATAAGGTCAGAGCACGTCCTGGAGCCTTTTTTTAATCCTCCTCTTTTG